ATGAACTTTAAAAATTAGAAAGGATGATCGCACTTTGGATCACAAAGTTGCTGGAGTATGACATTGTCATACAGCATTGTCTGGGTGTGAACATGGAAATGCAAATGGATTATCTCACTGCATAGTTAGACCATTTCTATTTGTTGAATGTCCTGATCTTGGACACTGCAAAACCATACAATAGACGATCCCGCTGGTGACTGGATTCCAAAACTCAAACCTCAAGAGTTACAGAAAAAACAATTGAGGACCCCAAATTATCATGAGCACTCTTTGCCGGGCAGCAAGGTGCAACCAGCAGAGGTTATGAAATGTAGTGCAGGTGCACACAGTCTGTGTGTTGGAGTGTTCCATTGTAGTTTTGCAAGAATATACGAAAACAGACAAAACAAAACAAAATTATGGATGACTAACACAGATAGCCTTTGTATAGTTTGTGCAAGTATTCAAAATAAACAAACAAGTCCTAACATCGTATGACTTATACAGAAACATTCAAACAACAGTACTGTGGCTGATCGATGAGGTTATTGGTGTAATTCACCGTGATTTCATCCCAACTTGTCATTACAAGACGCTGCAACTCAGCTACAGTAGCTGGTTTAGGGTCGTGGTTAGCAATTTTCCGACACAGTTTTGCCCAAAATTTCTAAATAGGGTTACAACTGGAGACTTTGCTGACCATGGCAGTCTTGTAACATACTCCTGGTCGAGATAATCCCACACAATACGAACACTGTGGACAGTGGCATTGTCATTCTGGAATATGAAGTTATTGACAAACCTTGCCGTAGCATATGGCAGAAATATCGTCTTCATGTGATGCCTATATGAGATGACATTGATGTTTCCCTGTAGGATATGAAGAGCAGTTTTCTCACCATAATAAATAGCTGCCAAAACATATACTGCACCCTCTCCTGTGTGTTACTTCTAGGAAAGACAGTCTTTCCTCATCTGTTCTCCAGGCAAACAATGTACACGAATCCTACCATCAGTTTTAACAAGCTTTAAACAGGACTCCTCTGAAAAGATAACATGTCGCCAGTGTCCTAACTGGAAGTTGGCATACTGTCTTGCCAAATAGATTGAAAAATAGACTATGATAATACGATGCAATAAGGGGATCCCTCTGGTATTTGACGTTATAAAAAATAAGACAGTAATTTGAAGTGTAAGGTGAATAAGTGTATAAAACATTATCGGATTTATTAATATAGGTATAGTTAATCACACTTTATAAAACGATCTGCACATACCAATGTTGCGGCAGATACAAGTTGTGACACCGTATCATAGGCGATAATTTAGCATCTATATGCAATTCGAAGCAAATTTCCAACCATTTGACAATTCTATGTTGTGAAAAAAGGAAATGTCATAGCCCTTTCCGAGTAAGGAGATTTATATAACGACATTGTTAAATGACGTAGAGTAAAAAGACAGATTGAACATTTTTTAAAAATTTTCTGTTCACACAGCAAAGCATTTAAAACAGTAATGAGCTCTAAAAACAAACTCAAAGTTAGTCTAAAATAATGCCCCCATGTGGCATGTTTTTATGAGAAAGGTGAAAAAAGAAATAGGATTTTCTGTAATCCTATATCACGTATCTCTCAAGGAACTTCAGTGGGATTTTTGTGCTTACAACGCTAGAATCCGGGTTTCAATACCCGTGGTGGGTAGAGCACGGATAGCCCATTTTGTAGCTTTGTGCTTAATTACAAACAACAACATCTTGAAATATTTTTTATTATGTTTTATCCACCTTCATTTGTTCTTTTTATCATGATAAATCATTTCATTGACAACTTGTTTTTTAAGTTTCTATTAAGACACAGAATCTTTGTTTGTTTGTTATTAAGCACAAAACTACATAAAATGCTATCTGTGCTCTGGCCACCCGGTTTCTAGCAGTATAAGTCCGCAGACATACCACTGTGCCACTGGGGGGCACACAGAATCTTACATTGCATTAGAGGTACAATAGTCTATAGTATATCTACATCCAAATATCTCGTTATTATTATTTTTTATTTTTGGCCTTCTTGTTTTTATCTTTATTTCTTTTTTTTCTTTTTGTAACGTATTTTCGTTTACGTTAAAAAATAAAATGGCCCGGCATGGCCAGGTGGTTAGGGCACTCGACTCGCAATCTGAGGGTCGCGGTTCGAATCCCCGTCACACCAAACATGCTCGCCCTGGGGCGTTATATTGTGACGGTCAATCCCACTATTCGTTGGTAAAAAGAGTAGCTCAAGAGTTAGCGGTGGGTGATGATGACTAGCTGCCTTCCCTCTAGTGTTACACTACTAAATTAGGGACGGCTAGCGCAGATAGTCCTCGTGTAGCTTTGCGCGAAATTCGAAAACAAACAATCAAACGGTCAAAAATTACAAATAGCGAGGATAACGAACGTATTATTCACTGCATTCTAATAATTGTACATTTAAGTTTTGAACTGTGTTTATTAAAGATAATAACCAATTCTTAACTGTTTTTACGCAGGGTTATCGTTGTTAAGTTTTAGGATATTTTTGAATTATTTTAATTCTAATTAATATAATTAACTTATTTTTTTTATCAAAACTTGTTAGTTATTGTATCAACTTGGCATATAATTTCATAATTTTTAAAATACGCTTTGTTTTTAGTTCTTTAAAATAATGATGTATATATATACATAAAACAGAATTATCATCTGTATGCCCACTTTTGAAGTTTACACTTTCTGACCGATTGCAATCGAACTTGGCAGGCACCCTCACCGTCCCCTTTGCTAATCTACTGAACTCTACCAAACTCAAAAGCACCCTTAGAGCATCTGACCCCCATTTTACTTCCAGGATCTTGTGTGTTCTTCGTAAATATTATATTAATTTCTACCAAATTTCGAAGGGAGCCCTAATAGGGTGTCAACACTCAGATCCGACACCCTGTATTACCCCCCTTCCCCTGGCTCTATGTATTCTCCGTACGATTGTATTTATCTCTACCAAACTTTAAAGGACCCTAAGGGCACCACAGAAAGTGAAGTAGGATGGGGTGTTGTGATCTTCCCTCCCATGTTAACCTCTAGGGGCCCTTTTGTCTTCCCTTTGCGTTGAAGAAGAATTTCAGCTAGTTTCTTTAATACAGTGGTTCTTAATCTTTTTTGCTCCATGCCCCACCTCAAAACTTTTGATGCCCACTTAATATAAAAACAAATTTGGTGTTAAAAAGGTTTGTTTGTTTGTAATTAAGCACAAAGCTACACAATGGGCTATCTGTGTTCTGCCCACCACGAGTGTCGAAACCCGGTTTCTAGCGTTGAAAGTCAGCAGACATGCCGCTGTGCCACTGGGGGGCGTTGAAAAGGTATAATAATATAATGTAAAATTTAGAAATTTATCAAAATTTCACACCCAAATGAAAATTTTTTCTTATTGTAGCATTTTCAAACTGCCCCCATGTGGGGCGTGCGCCCCACGTTTAGAATCACTGCTTTAATATAATTATTTACAATTTCCTTTTATTCAAATTCTAAATATCTTGAAAAAAAAATACTTGTTATAGAAGCATTGTTCTTGTTAATAATGGCTGGAGATGATGGTACCTGATGATGACAAAACCATGTCGAAACGTTGTACATTTGCTGTTATGTTAAACTTATATTAAAGTTTTTCTTCATTACCCATTCAAGCCGTCTCCAGCCATTATTAGTCTCAAAGTTGGTTCCTCGTCACTGAATTGTTCTTGTTGTTTGGCACTTGGTATAATAAAAGTTTTAAGCGGAGCCATGTAATCAGATGAAAACGTAAACTATTTATTAATGAATATTTAATAGTTTTCAATTTCTAGAGGTCTTAGGCTAAACTAATTGAGAGCAGCAGAAGATTTACCAAATAGTATGAAATATTAAGTTATTCCGTATTTTCACCAGTAAATTTCTAACGTGTGATGGTGACGTCATAATTTTTGATGGTTAGGCTTAGCTGTTGAGATTAGTTTCGCGTTTTCATCTTACGTGTGTAACTGTAAGAAACTGTTGTACATAAACAATTTTAGAAGAATCACAACTTATTTTTCTTTAATCAAAGTAAGATATAGATAAGTTATTGAGTTAATGTTTAAAAATAATTGTAAACATATTTGACGTGTCATAACTCCTTAATATAGCGTACTTCCTACTCATATTGTAGTTTTCAAGTCAGTCCTTCGAGTACGAGTATTACTCTTAGGGCTTAAGCTAAACTTGCTCCAACCTTCGTGACTATCTTTCACTTCATTCAGTTTCTGCGTCAACAATTTTCCAACCTCAGGTAAACAAAGTAATTTGTGCACGCTATAACTACTAATAATGGTTAATATCTATTAGAGTTTATTATGTCATTAAATAAGAAAAATGGAAACATTATAGTTAAAATCGTGTATGGTTATTATAACAAAAATAAAGTTATAAGCATGTTTCAGCTAGTTTAGTTACTTTCCAGATGGGTAAGTATTCCTGGAACTTGCGAAAGCGGAAAAGGATATTTAAGATGAAATTTGTTATATTTTATACAAACTGTTTCCTGAACACAAAATTTTGACTGTAATTTTACATTGAATAATATTTTAATTACAACATTTCCCAAGTAGTTAGTTGGAACTTCAAACTTCAAAATTGAATTGACAATTTCGAAAATACACATGTTGACTATAATTTATACAATTATAGCATATGATGAATGTCATATTTTTATCATCTGTATGAAATGGAAATTGATGTTTTTGAGCCATAAATAATACACCAGTATTTTTTTTTTTTTTTTGCTTTACTGTTAGCAGTAGGGATTTTACAAAAAAATTATGAGTTTGTGGAATCTTAGTCAGTAGTGAATATGTATAAAGCCCAATAGTGTGTTTAATATCTGATCCATGGATTTACCCAAAAGTACCTAAAAACATAAGCTAAAACTAAAAGGCTCTTATAAGTATGGCTGAAAATTTTAGCACATTTTAAAAAGATATTTAAGCAAGCTTATGCTTCTTATTACTTTATTTAAAGAAAAGTTAATACCTGTTACCTCAGTAATATTTATTCTTGTAGAACTATGTGATAACACACATGAAATGTTTGTTTGTATTGAAGTCTCTGTCCCTTTAAATTAGTTATTTAGTTAATTTAATGGTGGCTTTGCCTTATGTTTTTTTTTTGCACATATTAGGCTTAAATCATTTCCAGTGTGGTTGGATACTTCATGTTTGTTCCCCCCCCCCTTCTAACAGATGCAAAGAAAAAAAAATTGTCAGATATATTTATATAGAGCTTTTTGTGTTTTGGCTTTATCTATGTTTGAGAAGCAGTTATAGCATTTTTAATGTTGAGTGAATTGTATTTTAGCCCATCTTAAACAATAATTAAATCTTTCACTAGTAAAGCTTTAAAGTACTTAACAGGGCATGTTTTTTCTTAGTTCTTTGAGGTTTTGATGAAACAAACTGCAAGTTGAACCTTAAGAGAGTGGACGTCACAATATGTGTTTCATTGAGCTTTATTGTTTCTAAAACTTTTATAAAAGTTCATCAAAAATCTAAAACATATTAGATTTTCATTAAATCCAGGACACAAGTCATGCTCACTATTGTAAAATAGTGCTCCAGATAATGTTTTTTTCTGTAAGAAGTAATCATTCCCAGAATTCTGTAAGTGGGAGTGATTTTAAATTTTTTACAAAGTTCAGCAGTAACATTTTGTGATATAAAGTAACTTAACTAATTATGAACTGTTTTATTATTTCAAAAGGTGAAATTTAGCAAATTAAATCACCAGATGTAGTCTTAATAAACACAAATAATGACATTACAACTTTTTCTTTTATTTCTTTACACAAACTTTATAGGCCTATTAAAGCACAAAGGTGCATATTTTTATTTAGTGCATGTTTTTCTTTCACTTGTTAAGTAAATAAACAAAGTACTTTAAGAAAATCAGAAGTTAAGGGTTTGTACACACAATATATATAGTCCTATACAGCATAAGGTGCATGTTTCCATACAGTGCATTTTTCTTTTTATTGGTAACCAGAGCACTTAGAAAATCGTAAGTTAAATACTACCAAGAAAAATGATACATTCAACTCAAAAATTGAATTAAAAAAATAAAAGCTAAATTAAAACTCAAGTGTGTTGACAGCCACCAGACTGTTTTAGTAACAACAATGATGTTTCTGTCTTAAAATACTCTGGTGTGCAGTGCTATTGTTTTTATTTCATTTCTGATGTTATAGGGCTAAACCAATGTATTGCACCTTCAGAGACTGAAATTCTCTTTACTTTGTCACTGTAGTTCAGTATCTCAGTTTCAGAATTTCTAAATTTGACCACTTTGTCATTAGTTTCACTTACAATCACTTATTTCTAAACTTTGACATGTAATGGCCATCAACTTCCTTTAATGCATCTAACCCTGACACAAATGCTTCCACTATTGGCATAATCTCTCCAAAGCCCAAGGGTTTCTTTTGGAAGTATTTGCACAGCATAGCTACTCTGTCATGCACATCTAGCATAAAGGAAGTGATCAATGCAGTCTTATAGTCATGAAATTAAACTTCTAGGGACTGTGCCACTAGGTTTCCATCAGATGATAACTGAGACAGGGTAAGTAGAATCAAGGAGTAGTGTCTATTAACAGCATTTCTAATGCTGAGACATCACACTGTGATCGGTTCTTTCAACTTTAACTTCACTCAGCAGATTCTGAACTTCCTGTAACTTTGTGTACCTAACAGAAGAGTGGGAGAAATGATAATAGCAGTCTTGCTAAAAAATAGGAGGAAGAAACACAAACCTGAACCTCCTTTGGCAAATGAATTTTTGAGTTTAGCTTTTGTGCAGTGAAATCTAGTCTGTAGGTTATTCTGCAATGCCGAAATCCCTTCAACATTCTCTTTCGATTCAATTAAAAGCCAACTGAATTTGGCTTTCTAGTAATCAGTTGTTCTTTTTGTGAGTGACACCCCAGTGTTTTTTTCAAAATTTAGTAGAAGCATGTCAGTAATATGTTTGCAGATTTTTTCAGCAGAATCTACATTACTGTCTTGGGGCTTTAAATAGTTCAAAATGCTGTGTGGTTGTCCAGCAGCCATGACACAGTCCACATTATTCCATGTTCTACTGCAGTTACATCAAAGTGATTTTTTTAAAAGAAAAGAGGGAGGGCCTAGATTTGTTATTTTCACATAAACTGGACAGTAATTTATTATGAAATAAATGGATCATTCACGAGTGCACTAATAGAAACTTCTGGCAGTTAGAGAGTGCTTATTTGTGCAGCTCTACTGTGTGAACTGTGCAGAACTGCAGAAAGCTACAAGAATGCACCCATTAATTACTGTACTATCATTCAAGTAGCAGGAGCTCTATTTTTTTAAGGCTGTAAATGGTTAATTTTTGATTGGGAATTATATTGGTACACCCCTTATCTGGAGCACTGTGTAAAAGTAAGTCATATTTGAAACTAACTGGATTTCATTTATTTATTTATTACAGAAAACAATCCTGTGTTTTAAAAACATATTTTTTTTTCATTTTTATACAGATGGGTGTTATTTTGAGATCTGATATTTTGTTGTAGCTGATTCTAAAACAATGTGGTTATATTTTGAAAAATGCATTATTTTATTGACATAAAAATTTGCTCTGGATGAAACCCAATTACATAGCTTTTAGTATATAAGATTTAAGCTGTATAGTAGCTGCTGTGTTGTTGTTTACATCCAGAAAGGGCATATATACATAACTTCATGTAGGTCATTATAGCAATCTCATATGAATAAATAAATATACACATAAATTTCAATTAAACTTTCAATACAATTATATCTTACAAGTTTCTACACTAATATAAGACTAATTCATCACTATTGGAAAACAAAAGTATGTTTGGGTGAAAATACTTAAACTTACAAGACTTGTCTGATTTCATGTATTAGTGGGTTCACCAGGTTTTTCTAATTAATATAAAATTTCATGACAACAAATGACCTGTTGGCCTGTACAATGGAATTATAACCTACTTAGACTTGGATACAGTATTTCTGTAGATCCAACTTAAAATCGTCTTTGTGAGGAGAGGAAATCTAGTGTATACTTCAAGTAAAAGAGACACAGCTTTTGAGTAGATTATTATATTTATTTTTTAAACTTTATTACAATATTTTGACCACACGCCTGGTCATCATGAGTGGTCGAAATCTTTTAATAAAATTTGAAAAAATAAAGAATCCACTCAAAAATTGTATCTTTGGACTTTTATTTAACCTGAAATCCTATTTGACCGACCAATAGCAACAACATGCTGCCTGAATGGCTTTAGAGACTGATCAAGATCCTTTTCTTCAGTAATACTGTTATTCCCATCAAAATTATAATTTAAATTGTGGTAACCAGCATGCATTACCTTGCATTTATTATAATTAAATGCCACATATTCTTCATCTGGATCACTAATGTGAATCAAAAAGAGCAAACCTTCCGAGCCTTGAGGTATCTCACTTATGAAAAATGAGCAATTTTATTCCCCACACTGATAGATATTATTTTTTTAACATACATTTGATGTGGTATCTTGTCAAATGCTTTTTGAAAATCTAGAAACACAAAATTCACCACATTACCCTCATCTACATAGAAGTATTTCCTAAAACTGAAATAATTGAGCTGTGTAAAAGTGATTAATAAATGCAGCCAGATTGTGGACTATTTATACAAATGGTCACAATATGGTGGACAGAAAATGTGACATTACCAATTACAGCACTCTAGCACTTTATGCTGACCTTATTGTGATGCCTTTCTTTGTAATTGATTGAGAACATTAAGTATGCATGTGTGAATGTGGTTGTTATATTGGAGTTCAGATATCATGTAAGGCTTATTTAACTTGAAATTCATGGTTAATAGTATTTTATGTAAACATTAATCATTTTTATTGATATGACTTTAGGGCTGAAACACAAAAATGTTTGAGGAGCACTTCACACACTCATTTGTAGGGGAGGAAACTTTTCACTTTATTCCCTATTTAAAAATAAAAACACTTGTATGCCTTTGTAATTTGAGATTTCATCTTACAAAACCATTTTTATAGTTTTTACTATGATGTACTTTAAAATTTTGATTTAGATTACCAAGTCTTGTCCATTTTATTGGATATCTCTAGCCTAACAACAGCATTATATCCAAAACTAAAACTGTCAAAAGTACCAACCATTTTGGTGCATAGGCTTCCATGCCCAATTAAAATTTAGATGACTAATAGAGCTGGGCAGTTTCA